AATGCTATCCATTTTGATATCTCACAATGAGTGGGGATAGAAAAACGATTGAATGATCAGAATGCAGCCATGTTTAACTCACCAGCCACTGAGTTGCTAAACTTCCATCAAGTTAACTAACTTTAAAGCTCCCTAGGCTTACTACTGCATGGGATTGCTAACAAAACAAGTATGCATCTGGTTATTTACTGAACTATTTTCTTCCCAGCTTTCTGAATAAAAACATATTCTTTTACTATATATGGCATAAACACAGAAGATTCTGTTTTTATGGTTTAATGCCAGCTTAATATTTTATTTATGCATTTGGAAGTGGTAATAAAATTATTTGAATCCTCCTTCCCATATTGATTTCTATGAGTATCTTTAAAAAAAACAGCAGAAAAAGATAGAAATATTTTCAGGATAGGGATGTCTATTCTTAGTATATTTTAATGTATTTTAGAGAATGCTCATATCCCTCTGCCTTCTTTGCCAGCCCTTACCTCCTTAATTACATCCAGCTTTAACCAGATAGATGCTTGTTGAAAAGTATTATTAAATTAATCCATGTCAATGACTTCCTCAAGTTTCAATATACACAACAAAACTCTAAAAGCCAGAGGCATAGAAACAGGGCACGGATGGAGCTCAGAGGGAAGGGGGAGGGGAGGCTATCAGAAATTAACCAAAGAACTTATTTGCATATATGCATAATCTATGGACACAGGCAATAGAGAGGTGAAGGTCTGGGATAGGTCAGGAACCAGTTGAAGGGAGGCAGACGGGGGACATTTGTATTACTTTCAACAATACGAATGAAATAAATAAATAAAAGCAAGGGAATAAATCTAGAAGTATAGAATTTCCTTTAGAAAGTATCAAAATTTCTTAAGGAAAGTATAGACTTTCAGGTTTTAAATAGAGGAAGGATTTTCACTTGAAAATTAGAAGTCTTCCTAGGTCTCCTCAAGTCACTTAAGGGCCACATTTTCATCCTCCGTGAAAAGGCTGGTGCTGCAAGTTTCAGTGACTGCTCAAACTGAGCTAATTGATACAAAGGATAGTTCCTGAATAAGGAGGGCTTATATATATGGCTGCGATAGAAACAGCTTAACTGTTTACAAATACACTATTATATTTTAAAACATTCAAAAATACTTATCTTGAAATAAGACATACTTTTTAAAAATATTTTTATTGATTTCAGAGAGGAAGGAAGAGGGAGAGAAAGAAAGAAACATCAATGATGAGATAGAATCATTGATTGGCTGCCTCCTGCATGCCCCCTGCTGGGGATCGAGCCCACAACCGGGACATGTGCCCTTGACTGGAATTGAACCTGGGACCCTTCAGTCCGTAGGCTGATGCTCTATCCATTGAGCCAAACCAGCTAGGGCAAGACATACTTTTATTAAGAGTGAAATATAAACTAAGTGAAAAGTAGGAATCAATTATAAACTTTCAGGGCTCAAGGAATTCTTGCTAACAAGTGTTTGTATGTCAATGTGGATACCCATAGTTTGGCCTTTTTTGATGCATGGAACAAGAACTCCATGGGAAAGTAGTCTGCTTTTTTGTTCTTATCTTAAAAGAGAAAGTAAGGAGAGAGAAAACTGCCTTATTCTATTTAAGAAGTTATCCCAAGGGACTAAAAGCACTCCAGAGATCAATAATAGGTTCAGGAGACAAGCATAAGCACTCACAATATCCCTAAGAGAGGCAGAAGAGAGACCCAGAACAATTTTTGAGATAAGAGTTAAGAAATGTTTTGGAAAACAATTAAAAAACAAATTTAAGGAATGTTTGAAATAATATATTCTACGAACATGCTTATATTTCCTCAAATCTCTCTGTAAGAGATGCCTCTTATTTTCCATTATACTGTTCAGTTGTGTAATTTATATTATTTTAACTAAGCCCTGTTAGTGGTAGAAATGAAGAAGCATGGCTCTCTGCCTGGATCTTAGCCAATGGTTCTGTGCACTGGTGAGGAGGACAAAGTAAAAGGTAGATTAAACTAGGAGACCTATTAACTGCAGAGCCAGGAAGAATCTAAATCATTGTCGAAACCAGAGATAGAGCGTCAAGGCAAAAATGTTGGATTCAAAGACCATGGATTCTGCTGTTCATAAACTGCTAACTGTGTTTGGGGACAGCAGAGCAGAGGTGGGAGAGGGTACGCCTGACGGTGCTGCAGGGACTGGATCGCACACCAGCCCTGTGTGTCTCAGCTATTCACTGTAGTGAGAGCCTAATGGTCCCACAGCACCTCTTGTGGCAACTCTAAATTGCAGACGTAGGGCCTAGACTGGGATAATGAGCCTCTACAGGTCTGGCCTAGAATTTCCAGCCCTCTCAAATGAAAGCTAATAGAACCAAAGCAAAAAGTATTCTGGGGACTCATCATCAGGCCTAGAGAATGATGAGCCATTGTTACTGAAACATATAAACACCGAAGTCCTAATATTAAAAAATAAATGAGAGAAGGTTATGGACAACCAAATCACCCAGTTTTCCTTTTAAAGGAGAATTCCATACATGAACAAGTCATGGTGAGGCAAATTACAAAGAAATTGCATGCACACTGAAAATAGAGTTTGTATTGTACAAAGTTTCTTTTGTCCTTCATGTTCTTCCAAAGAACTATAACTAGTAAAATAAATGCTAAGTAAACACCTGCTGAGTGACCAGGTCAATGATTGAGTGAATAATGAAAAGAATGAATTAGTCAATGAACAAGCCTATTTTCCTAAGCTTCAGCCACAGATAAAAATTCATTCTGTCCATCAGTTATTTATAACCCCTGCTCTCTACGTAACCCAGATTTGGCAAAGGAGTGGTTATATAAGTGGCCTCTAGGGCTCACAATGGTCATTTCTTAAACTCTTAATATCTGCCTTTTTCCTGACAAATGACTGAAGCAGTGCTCTTAAGGGTCACCGAATGCCTCATTGCTAAATTCAAACCTTTTTTATCTAAGTCCACATCCACCTTGCTGAAGCAGACCTCAGAATGGAACACAACCCCTTAGCTCTTCTGATCTAATCTGTACAGTAGTAGGAATATGAATCACACGATACAATTGAAGTGGGTTTGAGATGCACTCAGTATGACATCCATATTTAGTTTCCCTTTTACGTGGATTAAAATGTAATCTCAACCTGTTTGGAGCGGCCTTCTCTGCCACCTCAGTGCCACTCTTCGGTGTGCTGGCAGTCTTTCAGCCCGTCTCAGTCCCTATGTGTCTCATCACACAGGTTTCTTCTCTGAGCTCTATCCAGCAAGCAAGTCAGAAAGGCCTTTGTACTTCTATCCTGTAAAGTGGGGGTTATGTCCTCTGTCCTGGGGAATAGCGGAGAGGGAAGGGCATTGTCTCCTTTCCTTCGGGTCTTAGAATGTCTGCTTACAACTTTCCTTGGCCTTGCTTCTGCCCAATTCCAACACAGAGACGCTGTAGAAGGTTTGGGAGGAGTCTCTCTGTGTTTACTTAAAGATAGTTTCTCCAACTATTATCTATGCCATTGTGTTCAAGTGATTATTTTGAAACTCAAAAGCCAAGAATTTATTTTATTTTTTTCCATTTTGTTATAACTACTTTATAGGTATGTGTGCCTCTTTGATCATATTCTTCATAAATTCCGCTGAAAATAAAACTATTTATTATGAAAGGTTTGATATATAACAAGAGTGCCCTCCCCCAAAAAATGTCAGTTTTTGTTAAATTATTATTAGTGTATGAGAATCCCATTTCCCTACATTCTTGCCAATACACTATATTTGAAAATATATATTTATGATTTTTAAATTAAAAATGAAATATTTTGTGTTTAATCTATATTTGTTTGATTACTAGGGAATTTGAACATTGTTCTGTAGATTTATTGTACATATGGGATTTAAAAATTCTTACTTGTCAGGAGTTCATTTGCCCATTTTGCTAGATCTTTATTGACTTATAAGAGTTTTTCATTTGAATATTAACAAATTGACTGTTGTATATGAAAAATATTTTTTTGTTTTTTACCTTTTTATGGTGTGAGAAATTGAAACTTACAATTTTTAAATCTGATTTTGTGATTTTTTTATCTTTGGTATTTTTACTTAAGAATTAATTTTTCATTGCAAGATAATGACTACATTATATTTTAGTTGTTTTATGGTTTTATTTTTACTTTTAAAATTTAATCAATTTGCCTTAACCGGTTTGGCTCAGTAGATAGAGCGTCAGCCTGTGGACTCAAAGGTCCCAGGTTCGATTCCAGTCAAGGGCATGTACCTTGGTTGCGGGCATATCCCCAGTAGGGGGTGTGCAGGAGGCAGCTGATCGATGTTTCTCTCTCATCAATGTTTCTAATTCTCTATCCCTCTCCCTTCCTCTCTGTAAAAAACCAATAAAATATATATTTAAAATTTAATCAATTTGTTATATTTAGCATTGACTGGGAGATTGGGGTCATTTAATTATTATTTGTTCCAGGATCATTATTTAATAATCCTTTTCCCCTTTGATCTAAATTCCACTTTTTTTCATATAATAAAATTGACATACAATGGATCTGCTTCTGGACTCTGTTCTGTTCTGCCTCTCACTACACCAATAAGACTGAACTTCACTCATGGGAATAAATACTTAATAAATACTGATATCTGATAGGAAAGCCATCCTTTATTACTGTTTCTTAATTTTTTTCAAAATTTTTCTGACTAGTACATTTACTCTTCCAAATAAAATTTAGAAATGCCATTCTAAAATGTTAGTATTATATTTTTGGTTATTATTTCTCACCCTCTTAACTTGAAGCCCCAGCCAATCTATTCTGTACCCTAGTGAATCCTAGCCTGATTATAGTTCAACTGCAAAGTACTAAATAATAATGATGATGGCAATAAATCCTATTTGCCACGGCTTCTCGAAATTTCAAACGTCGATATTTTAATATGATACTAATTTCAGATTTGTCACCCAAGAAAATGAACATGGAAACTCTCGCCTTTAAGAGGTGTCACTGTCTTTTCAGAGTGTAGAAGGCGAACACCATGAGAAAGCTGTGGAACTCCTCAAGGCTGCTAAGGACAGCGTCAAGCTGGTGGTGCGGTACACCCCGAAAGTCCTGGAAGAAATGGAGGCTCGCTTTGAGAAGCTACGGACAGCCCGGCGTCGGCAGCAGCAGCAACTGCTAATTCAGCAGCAGCAACAGCAGCAGCAGCAACAAGCGCAGCAAAACCACATGTCATAGGTGAGACGTGCCTTCCTCTGTACAGGGCAAGTCCATTGCATATTGCAGTGTTTGTTTGTTTTTTAAATATATTTTTATTGATTTCAGAGAGAAAAGGAGAGGGAGAGAGAGATAGAAACATCAATGATGAGAGAGAATCAATGATCAGCTGCCTCCTGCACGCCCCCCTACTGGGGATCCAGCCTACAACCTGGGCATTTGCCTTGACTGGGAATCGAAGAGAGATCTCCTGATTTATAGTCAATGCTCAACCACTGATACATACAGGCTGGGCAAGTGTGTGTGTGTGTGTGTGTGTGTTTTAATATGGTTTCTTAGCTGGGATAAAATTATTAGATTTAATAATTAAAAATACAGTCAAACAAATAATAATCTCAGAAAATGTAAATGCAATAGACGCTTGCTTTATGTGTCATTCAGCCACATTCTTTGCAAATGCAAGATATTTTGGAAAATAATATACTTTGCAAGGACCAGGTACAGATGCTTGATAACCTTTTACAAATTAGGGAAATGCAGCCTCTGTGCAAACCCAGATACTCAGGCACAAAGCCAGATGACCAGGGTGAGGCTGAAATCCAGCTCCCCGCTCACTCCCGCGGCCAGTGGCCTTGGCACAGTGCATAGACTCAACAACCGCTAGTGCTGAGGCTGGGAAGACCCCCTTTGGCTAGAAAACTGCTTCACTGGAAAGAATGAAGTAGAGGCTTGTCGGTGTCCATGCTAGGAAAGGTTTTGAAATTCTCTTTAGATATTCATTTAGAATGTGCTCGAGATGCACCTGCCTTTTCCTATATTTCACTTTGTGGCAAAGAATACTCATATTTTTCTATATATCTTAAGAAAATTCAATAAAAAAATCTTAAGAGTCTTTGAAGTATCTGCTATGTGCTAGGCCCTTCTCACATGTTTATCCCTCACCCTCAGAAGAACTCTTTAATGTAAGTATCATGAAAACCCACTTTTTTAGATGAAGCTTCAGTAATTTCAGTGGAGTCCCCACAATCATAGTTACAAGTAGCACAGAATTATTTTACTTTTCGCTCTACCAGGTATTTCATCTGCTAACATCAGGTATTCTGGAGTCATCTAAATTTATCTTGCTATATTTTGGAGGCCACAGCTTATATCATTAGATATCCCTACACTATGACATCTGCAAATGTGTGTTTGAAGTGAGGTTCAAATGCTCTTAGAAAAATGACAAGGGGTAGTGGTGATTTTAACTCCTTCAATGTCAGATTATTATTTGCACAACCAGAAACATTGGATATGACATGAGACTTTCAATTTTTTGTGACACTTATGAAAAGTAGAAGCTACATGGAGAAGTCAAGAGTATGGGATTTGTCCTCAGAGAGTTGGGAATTCAACAATCTATCTTGCTTTTATAGCCTCCTAATCTTATTATATATACATCTTACTTTGATGTCTTTATCTAAAACTCCATTCCATTCTAAAAGCTACATTTATTCAACAATAAATATTTATTTAGCACTACGATGGGCAAAGTACTGTTCAATAGGCTGAAGAACCAGCACAAGCTAAGAAAAATCCTTGCTCTCATGGTGCTTACATCCTGGTTAGAGGACATAGTTAATAAACTAGTAAATTAAATTATCCTAGAGGGACCAGTATTTTGCAGAGTTAAAATTGGGTGCTTTGATAGAGACTGGTTAGATCATGACTTTCAACTAAGTGACCAGGGAAAACTCCTCAAAGGAGGTGACATTAAACTTGAAATAGAATGATTAGGAGAAGATAGAAACGAGCAGAAGAGGAGGAGAAAACCAGTGTAGTAGCTCTAAGGCTGACATGAGCTACTTGATGTTTGAGAAGCAGAAAGAAAGCCAGGGTGGTGAGGGAATAATGAGAAGGACAGTGAAATAGATGGGGGCCAGGTCACAGAAAGCTTTTTAAACCACTGAGGGAAGTTAGATTTTATTGCAATTGAAGCCACTCAAGGTACTTAAGGAGGGGAGTGACATGATCTGACTTAGGTATTAAAAATGATAACTCTAGCTGCTATCAAGAGAATAGATTATTGCAGGCAAGAGTGAAAACAGAGACCAATTAGGAGGCTATTAGGAGTCTAGACAAGTGATGTAGTGGTTTGGAATAGGATGATACCATCAAGAGAGAATGCTATGGATGCTCATGGACAAGTAATGTTGTCCATATCCTTCTCTCTCATCCATTCCGAATGTAAAGGTACTTTACATTTACACTTTCAAATCCTTTCAAACATCTCTTTGCTAATAACAATTCACTATTTTTTAGTCAAGCATTGACACTCATTTCACTAACTCATTTTCTTCCATCCTCAATATTATAGACTTGTACCAATTCTGCTCATTGACATGCCACTGGCCCACAGTAAATTTTTTCTGAAGTATTTTGAAAGAAATATGTTGCCATTCTGACTTCTGAGGTCTTACTAAAAACTTACAGCATTATGCCCACTCAATCATCTTTGGAAGTATACAGCTTGGCCATAAATAGGTATTTGCTGGGCCATAAACTCAACTTCATTTCTCTGTTCCATCAGCCTTCATTAGGTCACTTCAGAATTTCCTAATGTCTCATCACCAAAGACTAACATTTTTAATAAAAGGCAATTACAAATGGTGTTTTTTTTCTTGCACATGATGTGGTAAAGCTCTATGTAAGTGAACATTAACTTTATATTTATACTCGCCAAGACAACAATTTCAATCTTACACAGGCATGGACCCTTGAGATAAAACTGTGGTGACCATTTCAAGTACAAGCAGAATAAAACCAAGTCATGTCACCCAGGGATTTTATGGTGAATTTATAGTCAGAGACCTACATTAGCTCTTGTTCAACTTTTAATTAATTAAGATTTTTAAGGATTAAATGAGATTTGCTACACTTGCTAACTCATGCTATGGTGGCTTTTGCAAAGACATTTGAAGCTAATTTGACATATTTACTTTGAACAGATCTCTGATATTTTTTAAGTATGACAAATCAAGAAAAGATTAGGTAAAGCAAAAGACTTGTCAGATATTACCTTATTGCTTATCACACAAAATATAATTTCTATTCTCTAAATTAGAAATAACTTTTTAAAAAATCTGAGATGGTATAAATTATGGAGTAATTAGCATGGTAACTGCTGGATACAAATGGAAAAATATGTTGCATGTGGATAGTATGTAGAGAATGTCCCTTATACCTACTTCTAATATTAAACTTTATTGAAGTAAAATGCAGTTGTTTTTTTCTCCAGCTTCCATGTTTGGTAATAAGAAAGAATAGATTACATTTTCTAAAATGTAGTAGACATGATCACTATACAATTATATTATAGAATCTTAAACAGAGAGTATGAATACAGGGTTTTTTTATCTATACTCACTTTTCAAAATTTTATTTTTAATTTACAGTTTAAATTAAATGTTATTTTGTATTAGTTTCAGGTATACAGCATAGTGGTTAGACAATCATGTCCTTTACAAAGTGGTCCCCCCAATATTGCAAGTACCCACCTGGCACCATAGGTAATTATTATAATACTAGAGGCCTGGTGCATGAAATTCGTGCACTTGGGGAAGAGGTCCCTCAGCCTGGCCTCTGCCCTCTCACAGATGAGGGACCTCAAGGGATGTCCGGCCCTCATGGGATGTCCAACTGCCATGGAGGCAGGAGAGGCTCCTGCCACCGCTGTGCTCGCCAGCCGTGAGCCCGTCTCCTGGCTGAGAGGCACTCCCCCTGTGGGAGTGCACTGACCACCAGGGGGCAGCTCCTGCATTGAGCACCTGCCCCCTGGTGGTCAGTGCACGTCAAAGTAACCGGTCATTCCGCCATTTAGTCGATTTGCATATTAGCCTTTTATTATATAGGATTATTGACTATATTCCCTATGCTGTACTTTACATCCCCATGATTGTTCTGTAACTACCAATTTGTAGTTCTTAGTCCCTTCACTTTTCCCCCTCACTCCCCCAACCCTCTTCCTCTCTGGTAACCATCAGTCTGTTCTGTGTATCTGTGAGTCTGTTTCTATTTTGTTTGTTTATTCACTTTGCTCTTTAGATTTTATACATAAGTGAAATCATATGGTATTTGTTTTTCTTTGTCTGACTTATTTCACTTAGTAGAATACCCTTTAGGTCCATCCAAGCTGTCACAAATAGTAAGATTTCATTCTCTTTTATGGTCAAACTAGAGGCCTGGTGCACGAAATTTGTTCATGGGGGTGGGTGGTGGTGGTGTGACTCTCAGCCCAGCCTGCACCCTCTCCAATCTGGGATCCCTCTCACAATCCGGGACTGCTGGCTCCTAACCGCTCACCTGCCTGCCTGCCTGATCAACCCCTAACCACTCCCCTGCCAGCCTGATCAATGCCTAACTGCTCCCCTGCTGGCCTGATTGCCCCTAACTGCCCTCCCCTGCTGGCCCGATTGCCCCTAACTGTCCTCCCCTGCCGACCTGGTTGCCCCTAACTGCCCTCCCCTGCAGGCCTGGTCCCCCCCAACTGCCCTTCCCTGCTGGCCATCTAATTTCCACATAGGGGCGGCCATCTTTGACCACATGAGGGCGGCCATCTTGTGTGTTGGAGTGATGATCAATTTACATATTACCTCTTTATTATATAGCATAATATTCTATTGTATCCAATAGTCTATTGATGGGCACTTGGGTTGCTTCCATTCATGGCTTTTGTAAATATCACTGTAATAAACATAGAGGTGCATATATTTTTTTGAATTAGTGTTTTTGAAGTTTTACATTAATTCAGCTTTAAGCATCTTATTTTTTTTAAAGACTGACTTTATATACATCCATAAAATATGGAAATATATACTTTATATTTTACCTAGATTCCAAATAATAAAAATAGAAAAAAAGAGGAGTACTTCTAGAAATGTTAGCATTATGAGGAAGTCTAGACCACAAGCCTTTTTTATTTCTCTGACCTCCTATTGCTGGAGCAAGGAAGGAGAATTCATTTATATTCAAAACCAGGCAGGATCTTAGCAGATGTACAAAGCAGCTGGCATTTGCCAGAGGCCTCACCGACTCTTTTTTGTCCTCCTGCTCTTCAAGCCCTCATTTCCTTATTTTGTCCACCACTGAGTGTTCTATACCTTCCAGCACCATGGCCTCAGCCATGGCCGGATGGTCTGATCCAGGGAACACTGCCAGAGCTGCCAACCAGGCACTGGGAGGACCAGGTCCCAGAGGGTGATCGATAAAACTCAATCCAAGGAACCCAGAGTAACCAAGCTAAAAACTGGACCAGAAATAACCATCATAATGCTGGATGCAATGCATTAAACTGTTAGGCTGTGCCAAGAACTCTTTTAAGAACTTCATATATGTCCTGGCTGGTTTTACTCAGTGGTCAGAGTGTTGGCCTGAGAACTGAAGGGTCTTGGGTTGGATTCCAGTCAAGGGCACCTACCTCGGTTGCAGGCTCAATCAGGGCCTGTGCGGGAGGCAACTAATGCATGTGCCTCTCTCATATCGGTGCTTCTGTCTCTCTTCCTCCCTTCCATTCTTTCTAAAAATCAATGGAAATATATCTTTGGGTGATAATTAACCAAAAAAGAAAGAAAGAAAGAAAAAGAAAAAAGAAAGAAAGAACTTCATATATATTAAATTGTTTAATCATCACAATAATCCTATGGATATTAGGTACTGTTTTTAAACTCATTTTAAAGAAGGAAACTAGTCATGTTGGATTTTTAACATTCTGTTGACAATGTTTTTCAAAGCTTGTAAGCAATAGGGTAGTGATTCATAAACATGGGCTTCGGAGCCTCTGTTTCTTCAGTGGCACCTGCCCTCAAATTCCTCTGTCTCTCCTCACAGACACATTCCCATGAGCTTTCCAGAAATTCGTTCTCAGGCCGCTTAGAGTTAGAGCTATCCAACTCACCCTCACCACTTACTTTCAAGGCAGTGCCCCATACTTCAAAGTACTTCATTATCACAGCCTATTAGTTTCCCATAGCTGCCCTAAAAAATTACCACAGATTTTGTTACTTAAGAGAACACAAATTATCTTGTAATTCTGTAGGACAGAAGTCCAACATAGTCTCACTGGGCTCCAGGAGGCTCTGGGTGGACATCATTTCCTTGCCTTGTCCAGTTCCCAGAGGCTTCTTGCATTCCTTGCCTTGTGGTCCCATCGTCCATCTTTCAAACCAGCAATGGTGGCAGAGGCCTGCACTGCATTGTGCACTGCATCGCTCTGAACTCTGTGTCCATCATCACATCCCCTTCCCTCACTCTCTTCTCACTCCCTCTTCCACTTTTCATTATACTGGGCCCACCTGGGCAATCCAGGGTAACCTGCCTATTTTAACATCAGCTGCTTAGCAACCTTCATTCTATCTACACAACCTCAATTTCCCTTCACCGTGGAATCTAACATATTCACTGGTTCTGGGGTCCATTATTCTGCTTACCAGAATGGCCCATTTAAAAGTTAGCAAAGTGCCCGGCTGGCATGCCTCAGTGGTTGAGCATCAACCTATGAACCAGGAAGTCACAGTTCAATTCCTGGTCAGAGCACATGCCCAGGTTGTGGGCTCGATCCCCAGTAGGGGGCGTGCAGGAGGCAGCCAATCAATGGTTCTCTCTCATCATTGATGTTTCTATCTCTCCCTCCCTCTCCCTTCTTCTCTGAAATCAATAAAATTATATTTAAAAAATAAAAAAGTTAGCAAGGCAAATTAATCAGTAGAATTTAAACTAATGTGGGAAAAAAACACTAACCTGTTGAACTATAAATCTTGGGAAAGAGGAAAATATGAGACACTTGGAGCAGATGGTTCTTCTCCTTGGGCACTACAGTGACCCACATTGTGGGTGCCCAGTGTCCCACAGGCCCACTCCCCCTCTTGATGGATGAGGAGACCCAAGATTCTTACTAAAATGTAGTTGTTCTGAGACCCACTTCCTTGGGACATGTAAATACATGTATGATAAATAAATGCATTAAAAACAGAATCTCTAGATCTCTGCCATTTGGGACTAACAGGAAGTTTTAATCTAAGGTTCAGTGAAATAGTCTGCTGTGGAGATTAAATAAGCAAAAGCATGTAAAACTCTGACCAAAACATGTGGCAAGTAAATGAGCACCCAGTAGTAGTAGTTGTCGTCACGGTCGCCCGTGTTGTAGTTGTTAACATGTCCTTGACGGATGTCATGTGTACTAGTAATGTCTTGTTAGGTGTCTTCTGAAGAAGCGCAGTGGCCTCGTGCCTGGTTTCAGTTCCACTGTGTGAGTCCACAGGAGATGCCAGTGGAGAGGTTTTCCAGTCTGCAGACTGAAACAGTGTAAGAATAAAGTCCATGACTTTCAGATTAATCACCAGGGCCAGGATTAAGTAAACCTTGGGTCTATGGCTTTGAGGCATATCTCTGGAAGGCATGGCAGCTGAAGAGTGCAAGTACCCCCCCCACACACACACACATGCACACATGCATACACATGCATACATACACATACACACGCGCACACATGCACACATCAACCAGAACAATTTGTTAACATCTGTTTTGTATATTGTGCTCTGAATTCATAGAAATAAAAAATATTTGCAGCTTTAAAATCAAAGGTTGAAAACCAGTGTTCTCTCTGAAAGAAATGACTCGTCACAGTGGAAGAGTGACAGGTCTCAGAGGAGAGTTTGGGGAAGGCTGCTCCCCCAAACCTGACCATATGGGCAGCTGCCCGCTCGGTTGTAGCTGATGTCAGGCTGGCCTTGTGGGAGAAGAAACAGACCTAATATCTGCTTCGGAGGAGGAATATTGGTGCTTCCTGCAAGAACACCACTAACTGCCCCTCAGAGTCATATAAAGCTTAGCTATTCTTTGTCTTCATGGAAAAAAAAAGTTACCTGGAATTGGGAGGAAGAAATGTTTTACGTTTAAGATGTTTCCAAACTGGTGTTCTTTATTTCATTTTAGGGAACAACTGGTGTCTTTTTCATCCTCATTCAGCAATTACTTCCTTTGGAAACATCAGTGTTTGTTGTTGTTTTTTTTCGTATATGGAAGATTGTGTATGAATGGTAGCGCCCAAAATAATCCTTGCTGTTCTCACAGAGCACATGCTCTTTTGATATTTTTAGCAAATTGTAGTTGACAAATGAATGCTAATCACCGATTTCTCTTCACTCTTTTTCCTCTTTCAGGTCCTTGAAGTGAAGCTACTTGATCAAACATCCGATAGTCACAAATTTGAAACCGTGCTTCTGAATCCCAGCACATAGTAAAAAGAAAAGACAACACTGATAATTATACCTGTCAAGAAGCTGTGAACGCGTGGTGTATAAATTCTTTACCAAGGCAACTCGACACCTTCTTTATCTGGGCTGAACCCGGGCTGCTCGCTGCTCTTCACACACACAGACCTTCCATTCACTGCAGTGGGAATTCTGTGTGCCAGTGGAGAGGTTTTCCAGTCTGCAGACTGAAACCGTGTAAGAATAAAGTCCATGACTTTCAGATTAATCACCAGGGCCAGGATGAAGTAAACCTTGGGTCTATAGCTTTTCCAGAGATGAACAAAACCCTCATTAGGCTATAGTTCAAACTGCATCAGTTCAATATTGTCGCCACTTAAAACCTACACATTGCCCCTCACCCTGACCTGTTTCACGTCCATACTGCTGAGCTGTCAGAATTAGAAATTCAGTTAATTGCAAAGTCAACATCTTTTCCCCTCTTGAAAACAAGTAATTATACTATATTTATACTCTCTTCAGGTTCTTGAAGCAATTGGCTTTTTGTTTTGTTTCCTTGAATTTTATTATGCATTAATAGAGTAGGCCGATATAGCTCAACTTTTAGTTTGCTAGAAGCAAGGATAGAGAAATCTAGTACTGTATTTTTTTTTAATTTAAGCATTGCTTGTATTTATTATTAATTCTAACAGAATATGATGTATATTTATTCCACAAAATATATATTATGAGAGTGTATTTGTTACAAACTTAGGTCTTACCTTACCAAATATTATGAATCTGGTAGGAGATCATTATTAGCAAAGGACCTGGTTTCATGAACTGATCCTCATATGATATTTATATATAATCCTGCACTCAATATTATTTTTTAGGTTTTATATTTTTGATTGATAAGCTCTAGAGAAATCTACGCTCTTTCTACCTACACTGATGTGCCGTCATAGAAGTCTATTTGATATTTTAAAGCTTGCAGATTTAACAAAAACTAAATTATAATACGTGTGCATATATATACAAATATGTATGTCATACAAAGTTTACATAAGTTTCTTCAAATATAAAATGGATATTTTTGTCAATCTAAGATCCAAAGTATTATTCCTTTTAAAATTAGGCATATGTAAACCAGTGATACTAATATTGTAAATGAAAAGATACTGCTGCTTCTAGGGGGTAAAGATACCACCTTCATTCCATGATTCATGTAAGTAAATAGACAATGAGATAATCATCTTTCAGAAACTATAATTTACTGGGAAATGATCTGTTAGAGCCACATATACAGATGATAACTTTTGACTTATGGTAAACCTAGGCACCTAAGTCTGATTTTACTCTATGGAATGAATAGGAAGCAATAATTATTTGGGTACTTAAATATCTTAAGCACACAAGTGTACCTGGAAAAAGAATAAATATCCAGTTGAAGTATTCTAGATCATTGAAACCGAAGCAAGTATTTGAATATTCCCTCTTCTCAAATGCAGAAATTGATCACCAAAGATAAAATAGAATTCACATTTCAGACAGTCCTCCAAATTAAAAATCCATAAAGCTCAGTTTAGGAACTTTTTTCATGAAAATAAACGAATCAGAATTACTCTACACATTTTAGTTGGCCCTGTCAGGTGATGATGTTGTCAATGCCAAGTTCTGCCTACTCTTCATAGCCCATCACCCAGCAGAGGATAAACAGCAATGAAACTAGGAGGTGCACCAACTTCAACAAGATTGTGCTGTAGTAACAGATTCTCAGGCTTGAAAACATCATTTGTTTTACTAGATAGAGGTGGGTGGAGGGCAAGGCTGAGGACTCTGAACATTGTGTAAAATAGGTTTGCAAAAGAGAGAAGCATGACTAAAGGGAACAAATGGATACTGCTTGAGCATTATTCAGTTTGAAAGAGGTAGTTCTCATTTTTATAAGAAAAATTTAATAAAACATATATTTTAGTTATCATTTAACAAAGAAATATTAAAGGTATTCAGGCGATGCCACTGATTCTCAGAAAGGGAAGTCATTGAACCTTTGTAATGAGGAAATGGTCATTTTGACACATTTTAATACATTGTATAAATTTGGAGCTTAAGGTATGTTTTTATTTAGCTGTATTTGGTTAATGTTAAATTATCATGTTTTAACATCAATATAAATATTTTCATGGAATTACAGAACAATTAACAAATGAGCAGATACCTTACATTTGTGTTTTCTAGAAGTCCTTGTATTTTTGTGCTTCATTTGCATAAAGATAAATGCTAATAAATGTATGCCAGGCCCTTTGTCACAGTGGAGGGGCAATCCATCACACCTAAGACATCTAAGGACCGATTACATGTCCCAGTGTTCCTGCATACAAGTTCCAGTCAAATGGCCACATTTTTTCAGTAAAATCTAGTTGTTGAAATGTAAATCTTCCCCTAAAGTTTTAATCAAAAGTAACTATGCCTAAGACTTAGAGAGGGGAGGGGAAAAATAAGCGCCCAACCGGCATGGCTCAGTGGTTGAGCATCTATCCATGAGCCAAGAGATCATCAGTTTGATTCCTGGTCAGAGCACATGCCCAGGTTGGGGGCTTGATCCCCAGTTGGGAGCGTGCAGGAGGCAGCTGATTGATGTTTCTCTCTCATCAGTGTTTCTGTCTCTCTGTCCCTCTCCCTTCCTCTCTCTCTAAAATCAATAAAAACATGTTATAAAAACAAAAGATTTAGAACACTTGTGGTTCTCTAAAGTTTCCCTGAACCTATACATAGGGAATGGAAAAAGTGACAACTTGTCTTAATGCTCTTTATTATTAATGATCATTTTAATCACTACTCTTATGTCCAAAATCATAATAAAGATATAATAGTTGCTCTTACATGAAGCTCAGTCTCTAATATAATAAACAAATTAGATATTAAAAGTTAAGGGGGGGTCTGTTGTTACCATTCATCAGTGATCCTGGTGAATTTTAGTTCTTTCGCTCGGTTAGGTTGGTGGCTGGATTTTTCTAAACTCTTTTTTTTTTTTTACTTTGAAGGCAAGTACCTGTACCAAACTTTTTCACTGGGCATTTATCTTTTAATTCTGATACCATTTGAAATTGAAATAGAACATCCTTGGGGAGATAATGAGTTCAAATTACAATTGACTTTGGAAAGAATAACAGATTTTCCATGCTTCATGTAATCAATAGGAAATTCTCTGTGAATTACCACTATTTTGTAAGACAATGCTAAGGTCTAAAAACAAAACCTAGCACCTTGGGGCTTCAAGCCTGTCTCTGAAGAACTTGCCTACAGATGAATCGCACCAATTTACAAATGCAGTTTTCAACCAGGACAAATCAAACAGGTCTGATAGCAGTGTATTTTACTCAGCTGTCTGTAGGACTCCAAGACGTTGTAATGTTTTGTGGGCATTATTTTAAACATCTATAGATGTTTGTGGATATGTGAATAATATCTGAATTTCTCAACTTCTAGCTAGTATGTGTTTAGCCTACAGACTCAGCCTGTTAGACCAGCTTTAGAAAGCATTGCAGAGTGAAAATCAATGCTCTAGGATTCAGGAGGCCAGCATAAGGCAAGATCTCCCCAATCTTGGGATGGTCCTACCCATCTCGACCCTCTCTCCATCAAAGACTCAATGAGGAAGGGCTGTGACTGTCTCATGGACTGCCGTATCCCTGGCGTCTGATATAAGGTCTGGCACAATATAGGCAATCAATATTCATTGAATGAATGAATGATAGAACAGGTGGGTACACAAATAAATAAATTTTCCTCTGGTCACTTGAAAATTTTTACCAACTTATACTAATTGGCACTATGATTTATGAATTTCATAGTGAGAATTAGAATGGACTCTTCATAAATATTTTCTAGATATGAGTTTGGAATCAATTACTTTGAAGGCTTTAAGTATTTGAGGACATTTACACAAGGAATGATTTGGGGATTCAGAGTTTCCATAATGAGTAAAATTCAACCTTTCTAGTTCTTTATGAAAAGACCTTGGCAAGGATAATCTAAACATGGAATTCCATTAATAAATTTTATAAAATATATGTTTTTATTTTTTAAAATAAGAAAAGTCACATCCTCAAGCATATTATTAATATCCCCTTTGATATTTATTAACTTTTTTTCTAAGGAATTCATAGTAAGTGGAGTTACCATCCCTAAATCTTGCCTTGCTTTCACAAGATCACTCTCATATTTGATTCCTAGAATGTATCTGAATTTAAGCTTAATCACACAGCTATTAAAACTTTTTCATGTGTTTATTCATTTACCAAATGCTCATTGTGTAACTAATATGTGGTAGATTTTGGAAATACAATGGCAAATAAGACAGACACAGTGCCCTCATGGAGCTTACTGTGAGGAACTACTCTACACTTACACTAGCAATAACTAGAGTTTCCTGTTCATCAGGTTCCTTGATAAAGAAACTAAAATCCCTAACCCCATGCAAATCATGAAGACTTCGTGCACATATTCCTGAGCTGGGTTTTCTAAACACACCACTCAAAAATGCTGCTTAGTCTATCCATACACCATAGTTATATCCCAATGAGGTACGTAAGTATAATTTACTCAGAACTAACATTTAGCTCTTACTGGGTTCTACTGTGCTCAGTACTTTCATAGACTCTCTCATTGAATCCCTTCAACAATTCTACTAAGTAGTTTCCATGTTATAGACAAGAAAACTGAAGCACAGAATGTGACTTGTTCAAGGTCACACAACTAGCAGGTGGAATTAGGATTTGAACCCATGCACTGTAACACAGGAGCTCATGTGTCTAATCATCATCTGTGGCTTGGGGGACACCATTACATTAACATAAATGAGTCACTGTATATAAAACACTTTGAAATTGTAAAGTAGTATACAAAAAGATATTTGTAAAGTATTCATAGTCAACAAACCATGTAAGTGGCAGAAACAAAACACAATCTTATGTTGTAGCTTCCTCTCATGAACACTTCAAGCCAGAGTAGTGGATAAAAGTACAGGTCCAGGAAACTTCTGACATGTGATAAATATTCTAATGATTTTTCAGAATTACTGATTGTTAGCCACTGTGTCTATTTGGTGCTACAAAAAAAAACCCTGAAAGAAACAAAATCCCTTGCTATAAGGGCTTATAATAAATACACAGTGTGGAGATGAACCAAGGATAGTTCACATTTATAGGAAAAGATGGGCAGTAGTACTATTTTCTCACCATTGCATGTGATTGTGTCTTTCCAATTGTTTTTATTATTTTT